ACTGGATTATCTGTGTCCACACAGCCAGATAATCCACCTCAGTGTGTATTTTATGCAGCTGTATGGAAGGGGCCCCAACTAACCTAGGCCTCTTCCACACAGATGAATGAAATCCCACATTATCTGCTTTGAACTGGATTATCTGTGTCCACACAGCCAGATAATCCACTTCAGTGTGTATTTTATGCAGCTGTATGGAATGGGACCCAACTAACCCAGGCCCCTTCCACACAGATGAATGAAATCCCACATTATCTGCTTTGAACTGGATTATCTATGTCCACACAGCCAGATAATCCACTTCAATGTGTATTTTATGCAGCTGTATGGAAGGGGGCCCAGATAACCCAGGCCCCTTCCACACAGAAGAATTAAATCCCACATTGTCTGCTTTGAACTGGATTATCTGTGTCCACACAGCCAGATTATCCACTTCAGTGTGTATTTTAAGCAGCTGTATGGAAGGGGCCCTAGATAACCCAGTCCTCTGTCACACAGCTGAATGAAATCTCACATTGTCTACTTTGAACTGGATTATGAGTCCACACAGCCAGATAATCCACTTCAATGTGTATTTTATGCAGCTGTATGGAAGGGGCCCCAACTAACCTAGGCCTCTTCCACACAGATGAAAGAAATCCCACATTATCTGCTTTGAACTGGATTATCTGTGTCCACACAGCCAGATAATCCACTTCAGTGTGTATTTTATGCAGCTGTATGGAAGGGGTCCCAACTAACCTAGGCCTCTTCCACACAGATGAAAGAAATCCCACATTATCTGCTTTGAACTGGATTATCTGTGTCCACACAGCCAGATAATCCACTTCAGTGTGTATTTTATGCAGCTGTATGGAAGGGCCCTAGATAACCCAGTCCCCTTCCACACAGCTGAATGAAATCCCACATTGTCTGCTTTGAACTGGATTATCTGTGTCCACACAGCCACATAATCCACTTCAGTGTGTATTTTATGCAGCTGTATGGAAGGGGCCCTAGATAACCCAGCCCCTTCCACACAGCTGAATGAAATCCCACATTATCTGCTTTGAACTGGATTATCTGTGTCCACACAGCCAGATAATCCACTTCAGTGTGTATTTTATGCAGCTGTATGGAAGGGGCCCCAGATAACCCAGGCCCCTTCCACACAGCTCAAGTTTGGTCCAATTTAATTGTGGTTGAATTTCAGAATGCTCTTTGATGGCTGGGGAACTATACATCCCAACAACTCCCAAATGCCAAGGTCTATTTTCCCCAAATGAATGAAATCCCACATTATCTGCTTTGAACTGGATTATCTATGTCCACACAGCCAGATTATCCACTTCAGTGTGTATTTTATGCATTTGTATGGAAGGGGACCCAAATAACCCAGGCCCCTTCCACACAGCTGAATGAAATCCCACATTATCTGCTTTGAACTGGATTATCTGTGTCCATACAGCCAGATAATCCACTTCAGTGTGTATTTTATGCAGCTGTATGGAAGAGGACCCAAATGCCAGTGCGGGATTTCATTCAGCTGTGTGGAAGGGGCCTGGGTTATTTGGGGCCTCAGAGAACCCAGGCCCCTTCCACACAGCTCAAGTTTGGTCCAATTTAATTGTGGTTGAATTTCAGAATGCTCTTTGATGGCTGGGGAACTATACATCCCAACAACTCCCAAATGCCAAGGTCTATTTTCCCCAAACTCCACCAGTCTTCAGATTTGAGCATACTATTTGTGCCAAGTTCTGTCCAGATCCATAGTAATTTGGGTTCACAGTGCTGTCTGGATGTAGGTGAACTACCTCTCCCATAATTCACTATCAGTTCCCCCCAACCCCCTCCAGTATTTGCTGTTGGTCATTAGGGTTCTGTATGCCAAGTTTGGTCCAAGCCTGTATTTCGGGGGGGGGGGGGGGTGTCTCAGTGGTCTCTGGAAGTCAGAGCTGCATCAGTTGAAGGTACTTCAGATCCCATCATCCGTTGCCCACACTCCCCCAAACATATTGTTTTTGTGATTAATCACTATGCTTTAATTATGTTCAATTTGTAACAATGAAAATACATCCTTCATATCAGACATTTACATTACATTTCATAACAGTAGCAAAATTACTGTTGTGAAGTAGCAACGAAAATGTGGTTGGGGGTCACCACAACATGAGGAACTTTATTTAGGGGTCACGGCATTAGAAAGGTTGAGAACCACTGTTCTAGAGGCATTCTCTCCTGACGTTTTGCCAACATCTATGGCAGGCATCCTCAGAGGTTGTGAGGTCTGTTGGAAACTAGGCAAGTGGGGTTTACATGTGGACAATTTCAACAGAAAGGAGGAAACCATGAAAATGAACAAAATCTGGCTACCAGTATTAAAAAAAAATCTAAAATTACAACAGCAAAACAACAGAGAGGAAACAATCAAGGACATCTAATCACCTCTCAACAAAAGATTGCCCCAGGCACTGCCAGGCCATCAAATGCTAATCAAGGTGGTCAGTTGAACATTCACACCTAGCTCCAGCAGACAAGAGTCCTTTGTCCCACCCTGGTCATTCCACAGATATATAAACCCTTTTTCCTAGTTCCAACAGACCTCACTACCTCTGAGGATGCTTGCCATAGATGCAGGCGAAATGTCAGGAGAGAATGCCTCTAGAACATGGCCATATAGCCCGAAAAAACCTGCAACAACCTAGACAAGGAAGGTTTATATATCTGTGGAAGGTCCAGGACAGGAGAAAGAACACTTGTCTGTTGGAAGCAAGTATGGATATTGTAATTGATCACCTTGATTAGCATTGAATAGCCTTGCCACTTCAAAGCTTGATTGCTTCCTGCCTGGGGAAATCTTTGGGGGGGGGGAGGTGAGCAGCTGGCTCTGATTGTTTATTCTCTGGAATTCCCCTGTTTTGGAGTGTTGTTCTTTATCTACTGTCCTGATTTTAGAAGTTTTTAATACTGGTAGCCTGATTTTGTTCATTTTCATAGTTTTCTCCTTTCTGTTGAAATTGTCCACATGTTTGTGGATTTCAATTGTTATAACAACTACTATGTCAGACAACAGAAAAGCCATTAAAATTCACAAGCATGTGGACAATTTCAACAGAAAGGAGGAAACCATGAAAATGGAACAAAATCTGGCTACCAGTATTTTTACAAAGTCTAAAATCAGTATGGTAAATAAAGAACAACACTCTGAAAACAGGGGAATTCCAGACATGAAACAATCAAGGCCAGATAACTCCTCCCAACAGATGATTCCCCTGACAGGAATCAGCCATGCCTTGAAGCTGCAAGGCTTTGCAATGCTGATCAAGGTGATTAATTGCAACGTTCACACTTGCCTGAAACAGACAAGAGTTCTTTCTCCCATCCTGAACCTTCCACAGATATATAAACCTCCCTTGGCTAGTTTCCAATATACCTCACAACCTCTGAGTATGCCTGCCATAGATGTGGGTGAAATGTCAGGAGAGAATGCTTCTGGAACATGGCCATACAGCCCGGAAAACTTACAACAATCCAGTGATTCCAGCCATGAAAGCCTTCGACAACACAAAGTATAGTCTGCTGCAAACCAATCCTGCCAGCATGGCATGAAAAATATTACACTCTGCAGTATGAAATATTTAGACAAGATTGAATTCTTTCTGTAAAAATAAACAAGTCCATCAATCTCATTACTAAACAAATCTGTTTTCATTTTTAATAAATAGTAAAATTATATGTATACCAAAGAATTGTTTGATAAATAATTATTTATGATTTATTATCAGTAAATGTTTGATTTGTATACCAATTTTGTGTTCCTCTATACCAGGGGTTCCCTAAAAATGTCTTGGGTAGACAGGGTTTATGAGCAGAAAACATTTAAGAAGCCCTGTTCTAGGCAACACCTGAAGGACGGCAAGCTTGTTGAAGGTTACACTTTCATATGGAAGAACCTATTACATAAGAAAAATATGTGGGTTAGCATTCAATAAGTTATATACTTTCATATTTACACTCCATACATATTCACTAGTTAGGGAACTTAGTAAAATGAATCTAGGAAAGCAAAGCTGATGCCACCACAAACTAAATCAGTGGTTCTCAACCTGTGGGTCCCCAGATGTTTTGGCCTTCAACTCCCAGAAATCCTAACAGTTGGTAAACTGGCTGAGATGTCTGGGAGTTGTAGTCCTAAACACCTGGGGACTCACAGGTTGAGATCCACTGAACTAGATGATTCTTGAACAAAGGCTCAATTGAAAATAATGGCACCTAAGGTAATATCCTGTTGGTTAGATCCAGCTAGAGTAATTGTTCAATGGTGATTCAACATATAAGTCAGGAGCAATCCCCTAATACATGGAAATATTTATTCCTCACACAGCAATTCCCCAGAACCCCCCCCCCCTCTGTTTTCATTAGATTTCCTTTTTAAATTGTTACAGGAAGTAACATAACATCATTTCACGTCCCAATTTTGAGACAGGATTGAATTGGGGTATGACCCATGAAGGATGTGGGCAGAAATGCCCCCCTAGGCCCAAACAAAGTGGTCCATTCCAATCAAGTGAATTTCCATTGATTCAATAGCTCTTCTGTTTTTGGTCCAGCCTGTCAAAGCCCCCTTTTGCTTCTACATCCCATTTATTTATTTATTTATTTATTTATTTATTTATTTATTTATCGTGTCAGAAGCTACTTGAAGGTACAGTTATAATGTATTTTTAAAAACATAAAGTTAAGAACTTGGCCTTATACTTGATTTCCTTTGACCAGAAGCTGGCCACTTAGAATGCCTTTGGTGTGACTGGGAGAAGGTCCTCCATTGTGCATGTGGCAGGGCTTTTTGAGATCTTATATTTATACTTTTACTAGCTTGGGTACCCGGCATTGCCCGGGTTATTTGCAAAAGTCAATTTTTTTATTTTACAAAATGCATAAGGTTATGAGTGAACTAAAACTCACATCATGCCAGGTTAACCCCCTGAAACTCCATCAGTAGTTACAGTTTGTCATGTTGGGCAAGTTTGCTCTCTAGATGCATCATCATGTGCTCTCTGGCTATAGGGTAAACTACAACTCCCACTACAGTGAGTCAGTCCCCTTAAACCTCTCCAGTAGATTGAGTTCATCATGGGGGTTCTGTGTCGCAAGTTTGGTCCAGATCTGTCATCGGTGGTAGTCACAGTGTCTCTGGATGTAGGTGAACTACAGCTCCCAGAAATGAAGGTCCATTCCCCCTCAACCTCTCCAATATGTTCAGTTGGTCATGGTAGTTAGTTATGTGTGCCAAGTTTGAGCCAGGTCCATCATCGGTGGGGATTGCAATTTGTCTGGTTGTAGGTGAACAACTCCCAAAAATCAAGGTCAATCTCTCTCAAACTCCTCCAGTATTCAAATTTGGACATATTGGGTATGTGTGCCAAGTGTGGTTCAGATCCATCATCATTTGGGTTCACAGAGCTCTCTGGATGTAAGTGAACTACAATTCCCCCATATCAAGGTGAATTCCACCTAAAGCCCTCCAGTATTTTCTGTTGGTCATGGGGTTCTGTGTGCCAAATGTGGTCCAGGTTCATTGTCGGTTGGGGTCACAGTACTCTGACTTGATGCAGGGTGAACTACTACTTCCACCATGTTAAGTTAGGCCCCCAAACCCCTCCAATATGTTCAGTTGCTGATCAATCCCACTCTGTTTGCTGTGCCCCACAGAAAAATGTAGGAAAGGGTTAAGGGAGAGGCAGTGCGTGGGATCATGCAAATTCCACACCGATGGAGGGAGTCAGAAACACTGAGATGTCTGTGGTGGAGGAAACACATAAAATCTAGGATGATATTGTCCCCGTATGAAAGCCTTCACTTGGGTGGTGGGCAATATTGTGTTTGTGGAGGACATTGGCAGGGGTTGTACATGCTCACAGCATTCGCTATAACCTGCAATGTCATTGGAGGGAGGGACATAGGTGAGGATCATAGCTGTTTGTGGAAGTGGGAGTCTGTCTGTGAAAGTGAGCACCCCAGCCACAGACAGATACATATTTTCACTTTTATTATGGATATAGAAGATTAATGAATTTCTCACCAGTGTCTTTCATGGTCCATATATGTGAGAATTGTGCAAGATGGTTAGCAAAAGAGAATTTCCATTTCCTGATCGATTTTCAGCCTTCATATCTTTTCCCAAACAAGGTTGGTAATATAAATAGCCTATTCTTTATCATTGGACAGTTGTTAATATTTGTACATGATGCCAACAAGGACATGGAAAGGCCCACCCGACTGATATAAATGGAGAGGTGAGAAGCCAGAATCTCTCCACAAGAAGCATCAATGGATTTCAGGGTAAGTTGTTTCTGTTGTAACCATCAGAGTGGCCTACAATGGCCCAAATGAAGTTTCATAAGCTAAGAAATCTTGTTTGTTGGGAAAGCAGAGAGCAAAGCAATAACTCTTTGCATGTAATTCCGTGCCATTTGTGTAGCACTTTTCACCAAGCTATCAATATCTCATCTCTGGATGATATCACTTTAACAACCATGGCTCAATGCTATGGAATCCTAGGACTTGTAGTTTTGCAAGTTCCTGCTTCTTGGCAGGGAGTTGGACTGGATGGCCCATGAGGTCTCTTCCAACTCTATGATTCTTTAGTCTTCTTTGCCAAAGAGTGCTAATGCTTCACCATCTGGATATTGTTTGATTACCATAACATGGTAAGATGCATGTTAAAAGCATCAGAACAAAAACATTAAAAATGGATATTATGTCTGATTTCCAGACTGTTTCTCAATTGCTTTCTTACTTTTTGTTCCAGATGCATCTTTTATTCTGTGCTCTCTTCATTTCTCTGCTGGATTACCATTGTATCAGTGGCCAGGAGTGTGTCCTCACATCGCTGAAGAAAACTGTAGAAAAAGGCTCTCTGGTGACAATTGGTAGGTAGAGAAGATCCTACATCAGACATATAGCCAGCCATGATGTTGTGTCTATGATTTGTGCTGAAAGATAACTTGTCCAGCCAGTGACTGGTGGTGTACCGAACTAAAGAAGAGACCCCTGTGGAAACCTGTCACAAAACCTCAGTGCACCACCAAGGCAGGGGCAGGACTGGAGTCCAAATATTCAGCAACCCCCAGTAATCACCTCCCCCCCCCCCACCCACCAACAATGATCCTCAGTAGTTTACCCATGATCATCAATAGACCTGGAAAAAGAGGAGGAGAGGGAGTCAGAGAGGAAACCAGTTGAGAAGTGTCCAGGTACCCATTTCTAGTGYTGACAGAATCACAAAGTTGGAAGAATCCACAAGGGCCATTAAGTCCAGCCATGCTGGARTACATAACCGAAGCCCTCCCAACAGATGACTTACTTTACTTAGGTGATCCCTTGTTGACCGAGTAAGATTATCTTCCAAGTTCGGTGTACTGGCAGTGGGTAGGTAGGTGACTGTGGAGCCCTATTCTGTGGAGCCCATCTTTAAATCTCTTTTTTTCAGCCCTCCAACATTCTGTTTTCTGTTCTTGAATTCGGAGTAGAGTAACTGCTTTGGGAGATGGTGGCCGGGCATTCAGATAAGGTGGCTGGTCCAGCGGAGTTAATGGTGGAGGACCATTGATTCAATGCTGGTGGTCTTTGCTTCTTCCAGCATGCTGACATTTGTCTGCCTGTCTTCCCAGGAGATTTTCAGGATTTTTAGGAGGCAACACTGATGGAATCATTCCAGGAGTTCATTTGACATCTGTAGATAGTCCACGTTTCGCATATAGCAGGGTTGGGAGGACAATAGCTTTATAAACAAGTACCTTGGTATCCCTACGGATGTCCCAGTCCTCAAACACTCTATCTAGCCTCTGTTTAAAAACCTCCTGAGAAAGAGGCTTCACCACACTCAGAGGCAGCATATTCCATTGCCAAACACCTCTAACCATCAGGACATTCTTCTTAACATTTAGAGCGCTTCCAAACAGCACCAAATCACAGGTTTTAGAGCAGGGACAAAAAAAAAAACCCCAGGACCTGAGAGCAGGTCCCCACACAGACCTGTAGGTCTCGGGATATGTCTGCCCAATGCCCATACAAGTGGCATTGGATAGACATATCCACAAGATCCACTGGAAAGTTCGGTGTTTTTAAATGCGCATAGCTTGTACAATTTTTGTTCCCAGGTTATAAATGATTCAAAAATAAGTATATTTGCCCTTCGAACCATAGAATTTCATCAGCAAGCCAAATTCTTCATTCTCTCCTGATGTTTTGCCTGCATCTATGGCAGGCATCCTTAGATGTTGTGAGGTCTGTTGGAAACTAGGAAAATGGGGTTTATACGTATATCTGTGGAATGTACAGGGTAGGAGAAAGAACTCTTGTCTGTTTGAGGTAGGTGTGAATGTTGCAGTTGACCACCTTGATTGATTTGATTAGCAAGCCACCTCCTTGCCTCCCCCTCCCGAACCAAATGGACTGGTCTGGGCTAAATAGACTGGACCAGCTGGACGCCTTTTTGGAAATCTTTCACCATCAACCCATTGGGCATTCCTTGAGGACAATTGGATGTGAGGTGGATTAGACTAATTTTAAATTGGGATGGGTTGTATGTGACAATATTTCAAGGTTGTTGAGCTGCTATTTATCAGGGTTTTTGGACATTTAAGCCACGGGACTGTAAGACATGTAATCGTGCTTCAGTGCAATGTCAGTTTGATATGTTTTAATATGTTTTAATCATTTGAAAGACTACTTTAATGGATATGTATGCGTTTTTTTACATATGTTTTATTGATATTGTTATTATCTGAATCTGGCATAGTTTGTAAGCTGCCCTGATTCCCCCTTCTGGGGTGAGAAGAGTGGGGTATGAATACAGTAAATACATACATACATACATACATACATACATACATACATACATACATTGATTGGCATTTAATGGCCTAGGAGTTTTAAGGTCTGGCTTCTTACTGCCGGGGGGAATCCTTTGTTGGATAGCCTTGCCGTTTCAAAGCTTAACTGCTTCCTGTCCGGGGGAATCCTTTTTTGGGAAGGAGGTGATTAGGAGCCCCCAGTGGCACAGTGGGTTAAACCTCTGTGCCGGCAGGACTGAAGACCGACAGGTCACAGGTTTGAATCCGAGGAGAGGTGGATGAGCTCCCTCTATCAGCTCCAGCTCCTCATGCGGGGACATGAGAGAAGCCTCCCACAAGGATGATAAAAACATCCATTCATACAGACGCCCCTTGGTCAACGTCCTTGCAGATGGCCAATTCTCTCACACCAGAAACGACCTGCAGTTTCTCAAGTCGCTCCTGACATGACAAAAAAAGAAAGCTGGCCCTGATTGTTTCTTGTCTGGAATTCTCTTGTTTTTGAGTGTTGCTCTTTATTTATTGCTATGATTTTAAAGTTTTTTAATACTGGTAGCCAGATTTTGTTCATTTCATGGTTTCATTCTTTCTTCTTTCTTGTCTTGTACTTTCAGTCCAAAATGAAGACAGTAGTTCAGCAGTGAACCCGACCAGAAACAATCGACATAATGATGTTTTTTATGAAACAACCTTGAAGTGGGTTTGGTTTAACGAATCTGCTCCCAGTGAAGCACTTTCATTCTGGAATAGCTATGCTAACAGGTGGGAATACCCTTGCTGGGAAGAAAGATGTGCAGCTGGTTTCTACAGTCCAACCCATGGTCCTTACTGTTACTATGCTTATGGCAATCGAGAATTCAGTACCTCTAATTTCCAGGTGTTGGTGAATGAACACGACTTTGAATCATTGAAATGGCAACAGGGTTCTTATGGTAGTGTTCCACAAAATTCAGTTGATACTTGCCCAGGAGCACAAGTCTATGTGGGGAAAAATAAATATGGCTTAGGAAAGGTAGATGTCCAAAACAGCGCTTTCTTCATCGGGATTAATGGTAAAGAATACTGGTATAAATACTATGATGTCCTGACCATTTACAAAGGTTATCGATCTCAGGAAATCAACAATGTCAAGTATATGAAAGACCAGGGGATATATAGCAACGATGCCCTGACCTTGTTTACTGCCAAAGTCACCAACAATAACTGTGACTCAGTGAAGAAGATCACCACCTTATCAAAAACTGTATCCTTTGAACATCACTGGGACGTTGGAATTGCCCTTTCACAGAGTGTGAACACTACCATAACAGTGGGGATACCTCAAGTCATTGGGACATCATGGAGTTTTTCATCAGAGAAAACCTTCAACTGGAATAAAGGTTCCACACAGACTGAAGCAGTCACATTTACTGAAACTGTAGAGATTGACGTCCCACCTAACCACAGCTGTGAAGTAACAATGGAGGGCATAACAATGAAGGCAAGGTTTCCCTTTACTGCCAGAGCGACTCGTTACTATAATAACGGAGAGAGTCGAAGCGCCATCATCCAAGGGGTCAGCAACAGTGGTGTTGTGACACAAGTGCACACAGAAAGTAAGCGGTGCCAACCAATCCCAGATGCAGAGCCATGCCTTTCAGAGATCAGTGGTACATATTAATAATCCTCTATGTTATTCCTTAGCCATTAATTGTTCTGCAGCAGAAATCAAGACAATAAAATGTGATAACAGGAAGAACAATAAGTGAGGTGAGGGCTGAGCTTTGATATACGAGAGCATTATTCATCCAACAGAAGAAATGGTGATCGTTCCATCATATCAAAATATAAGCATGCTTCCTCTTCCTGAATAAATGTACTTGGAAATAAATGTCATTTATTTCAATGAGATGTATATTGGGAGTATTTGTTCTCAAAGCTGAAACCAAAATTAATCAATACAATCTAGTTGTGTTGCTCAAATGGCACATAGATCCCATCAAAATCAGTGGGAGAAGTCCATCAGAACTGAAGCTCCATTGCAGGTGTGGGGATTGAGGGCCCTTCCAGACAATACCGCTATAAAGGAGGAGCTGTCCATACAACGTTCTGGACCCTCCAAATTAATTCGTCACAAACCAGGAAAACCCTGGTTTCTGACAAATTAATTAGATAGTGAATTTATTTTGTGCCTTCTTGGCACATTTATTCTATGTCATCAGCAGGGAGCCCCTCCACCCAGCAGCAACTGCTGCTCTGGGCTAGAGTGAGAAGAGAGGGGGCCAAGGGGCAGTTCCACCTTGTCTACTGTGCTATATTAATAATATAATATAATATAATATAATATAATATAATATAATATAATGTATATACATTTAATATCTATAATATTATAATGTAATACAATATACCAATAATAATAATAATACAATATTATAATTATATATTTTATATTACATGTAATATTACTAATAATATTACAATATAATACTATAGTACAATATAGTAATATATTATACTGACATTTTGCTATGCTAATAATATAATATATTGTAAGAGTATATATCTTGTAAACTGCTCTGAGTCCCCTTCGGGGTGAGAACGGCAGCATATAAATGTCGTAAATAAATAAATAAATAAACCCACATTCCCACAGTTTATTGGGCTACATCCAGTAAACTGTGGGAATACCCACCCCCCTCCCCCAAAGCCCCCAAACCTCTTTGAAAAGTAAAAATACCTCGTTGAAATGATGTGTCAGGAGAGCAGGGGGGGAGGACAATCATCCCCCTCCCCCCGCTCTCCTGGCACATCATTTGTACGCGCCAGGAGAGCCACTCCAAGAGTATACTGGAGTAAACTGGGTAAGTTTTTTTAACTTTTCAAAGGGTCTGGGGGCTTTGGGGGAGACGAGTAGAGTCTCCAGGAGAACGTCTAGACATCCACTCCAGAAAATGCGCATTTCTGGGGTGTGTGTGAACAGGCCCCCAGGAAGACCCACGGTTTTTAAATGCGAATTCTCCTGGGATAACGACCTGTCTGGATCTGCCCTGAGTTGTCCTTCACTGTTTGTTTTCTTCATTATTGGCTATGCCGACTAGGGCTGAGGGCAGTCCAACAATACTTGAGCCTGACACCTCAACTTCATTTTTCAATCCCTCTCTTTCTTTGGTACTATTCAATTCCACACTATGAATAAGGGCTGCAGGTGATACATCAGAAGGACAAGCATATTCACATCCAAGCAGTCCAATATCTTATTTCAACCATTCGCTCTGTACAAGGCTTCTAAACAAAATATATTTCTCTATACTAGTTGCATGCATGCTTCACGAAGGTCCCACAGATATAAGAGTTGCACACTTTTAAGTACTCATTGCACAATGATTAGATTCATAAATTCTTGGTGGACACTTGCCTCACACCACCTACATGTCAGTGATATTGTCACAGCAGCTATATGGCATGGGCCAAAAGAAAGACTAATGGTGTTCTGTTCAGATGTCAACATTGACTGAACATCAGCAGTGCCAAGGGACACAAATGTCATGAGGAGAGAAAAGTTCCACCTTTGAAAAAGGGAAGAGCACCACTGACCATAGAAGTCCTAGATGTTTTGGGGTGGGCAAAGGAAACTCATGAAGGGATGTATAAAAGCTTCCCCAATGCTCCATGGATATGGAAAGAGAAGGAGGGAGGGAGGGACTCAGCAAGAAGGAGCCTATGAAGGAGGACTGAGGGTCACTCAGAAGTAAGGACCCATCTGAGTGTGAGGGAGCACTTGGCTGTGTTGGACCACAGGGCCAACCTTCTAACTCCTTGCTGGCAGGTGCCAAATGATGCTGGGAACTGATCAAGCAGAAGGAAGATCGATGGTTTTCCTAAAGCAAATAGGGATGACCGGAGACTTCAATCCTGCTTTCTTCAGACGCTTTAGAAAAAAGAAAACTAGGTAGAGGAGAATCTGAGATTCCTAATCTAAGGATTCCTAATCTAATATTCCTGGCCTGCTAGACCTTTTCTTTCTTCTCTCTCTGAGGTGGATCTTCCTTCTCTAATTCTTGAAATATGTGGCCGTAGCATGCCTTTCATTCTGTCTCCTCACAATCAATAACTGCAAAAGAATCATAGAATCATAGAATGCTAGAGTTGGAAGAGACCTTGTGGGCCATCCAGTCCAACCCCCTGCCAAGAAGCAGGAAAATTGCAAAGCACCCCTGACAGATGGCCATCCAGCCTCTGATTAAAAGCCTCCAAAGAAGGAGCTTCCACCACACACCGGGGCAGAGAGTTCCACTGCTGAACAGCTCTCAAGGTCAGGAAATTCTTCCTAATGTTCAAGTGGAATCTCCTTTCCTGTAGTTTGAAGCTTTTGTTCAATTGCATCCTAGTCTCCAGGGCAGCAGAAAACAAGCTTGCTCCCTCCTCTCTATGACTTCCCTTCACCTATTTATACATGGTCATCATGTCTCCCTTCAGCCTTCTCTTCTGAAGGCTAAACATGCCCAGCACTTTACGCCACACCTCATAGGGCTTGTTCTCTAGATCCTTGATAATTTTTGTTGCTCTCCTCCGGACATATTCCAGCTTGTCAACATCTCCCTTCAATTGTGGTGCCCAGAATTGGACACAGTATTCCAGATGTGGTCTGACCAAGGCAGAATAGAGGGGTAGCATGACTTCCCTGGATCTAGATACTATACTCCTATTTATGCTGGCCAAAATTCCATTGGCTTTTTTGCCACCGCATGACATTGTTGGCTCATGTTTAACTTGTTGTCCACGAGGACTCCAAGATCTTTTTCACACGTACTACTCTTGAGCCAGGTGCCCCCCTTCTGTATCTTTGCATTTCATTTTTTCTGCATGTGGAATATCTTGCATTTGTCACTGTTGAACTTCAGTTTGTTAGTTTTGGCTCATCTCTTTAATCTGTTCAGATCATTTTGAATTTTGCTCCTGTCTTTTGGATTATTGGCTATCTCTCCCAATTTGGTGTCATCTGCAAACTTGATGATCGTGCCTTCTAAACCCTTCATCTCAACATCTAGATGCAGTGTGCATAAAGTGGTTACTTGTTGATAACCCAAAAAAGGGACACAAATGCCCATGTGATTTGCCTACATTTATTTATATGTCAAGTTGCAAAAATAGCAATAATAGGACTGACATTTTTTAAAAATATCATATAGTTCTTTTTGGTGGGGGTTGCCAGGTGACCAGGCCTGTTTTAAAACCCTCTGTTTTCTTTTAAATTAAGTTTTAAGTAGGCAGCCCTAGAAACTAAAGACATTTTCAAGATGAAGACTGGCTCTAACGGTGACACCCCTTCCGTCTTAGGGCAACTATTTTTTAAAAAAGCACAGCACATTATCAGATTATACATTGAGTTCAAAATCTTGTGATGACCAGTGGCTACTTAGAGATAGTGGAAGTGAAACAAGGGTCATGGGATTTCCACTTTTTGCTTTAAACATGAGATAAAGTGTTATGGGAAAAACCCATCTCTAAGCTGCTGGCACCAACTTCTATATTCTTGAAAGGCAACCACCCAAAACCTAGATACTAACCAATCTCACTTATGAAATCGAAATAGCACCACCCTCTCACACAAGAGGAAGGAATCACTAGAAGAAAGGAGTTTATAGAAGTTACAGAGCACTGACATAATAAGCTACCAATTTTTCCATCCTACATGGACTGAGTATGCACACTTCAGTCCTCATGGATGCTTGAGTGAGTGGTGGGACCAATAGAAGGCCCTCCCCAGCAGATCGTAGATTCATAGAAAGAGACATGGTAATTCAGATAACCTGAACCGGAGCAATATAGGGTTTTGTAAGTCAAAACCAGCACTTTGAATTGTCCTCGGAAAACATGTTGGCAGCCAGTGGAGATGTTGAAACAGAGAAGTTGTATATTCCTTGTAGTTAGCCCCCGTTAGCATTTTCACTGGGATTTATAGCATTACATGGTCTTTTGTCTTCTCTGCCAAAGAGGGCTAGTGTCTCAAAAAATTGCAAATCTCAGAATGTTATAGCATAGAATTGTTGCAGTTAAAGTAGTATCAAATGACCTTAATTCCATGCTATCTGCACCCTCTGTCAGATAGCCTGGATCAAAGGTGTATGGGCTTTCAAGGGTATACACCATACTGTAGAGTTAGTGCAGTTTGACACTACTTTAACTGTCAGAGTTGTGGTTTGGTGACTACAACTGTGATACCATAGTATTGAACCATGGCAGTTACGGTGGTGTCAAACTGCATTCGGTGCTCCTTTTTAAAAGGTGAATTCTTTCCAGAAAATATTTCTGTTTCTCTTCATTAGTTCCATTTGCACCGTGTGATCTCCTTTACGGACGCTGCACTCCATGGTCCCAGCCATGGAGTGCAGCGTCCTCAGGCCCCCGAGCGTTTCCAAGTGCCTCTTCAGCCGTAAGATGACAGGGACCACTAGGCTGAGTAGGGCTCTGTTGCCAAAAAGAGTGTTGAAGGCATTTTGAAAGGCTTGAGAACGTCAACCAGCTGAGAGATGGTCTGCCACTCCTGGTTGTTTGGGACCAGCTTGTTCACCAGCGCGGCGACCGACAGCGAGATGCCGTGGATGGCCCTCTACTGCTCCACCATGCACTGCAACATCTTGTAGGTAGAGTTCCAGCAGGTGGAAACATCCTGGAGCAACCTGTGTTGGGGTAATCCCTCCAGGGCCCACCTGTCACACAGCAGATGGGTGGACTTGGTGCTAAGATAGAACAAACCACTCATTTTGTGGCAGCGCTTGATCAGGTGCAAAACGTGGCTGGTGCTGTGTTCTTCGGGGCCCTTAAAGCCATCTTTAACTGTGTTATGAGTAAGTGTGCCAAGCAGGTGACGTTGGTAAAGCCGACACTTTCCACCGCCCTTATCATGTTCTTCCCGGCATCGGTGACCATGAACCCCAAGTTCGCAGTAAGCTGCATCCAGTCCCTCAATATGTCTTGCAAGTATTTGCAGATGGTGTCGGACTTGTGATCCTTGTCTATCACCTCCAGAGCCAGCAGGGCCCAGCGATGACCCGACAAGAGGCTTCCCTCCTTCTCCCACCAGTGAGCCATGAGGGACAGATAGGAATGGCCTCCTCCCATGGTGGGCCAAATGTCCGAGGTGAAGTGGATGTGGCTGGATTGTGCAGCACGCAGCAAGGTTTTCAGATGTTCCTTGCATCCCTCATACAAAGAAGGAATGACAGTTCTTGAGAAAGTCTGGCAAGTCGGGATCTTGTATCATGATACCAGGAGGGCCATCAATCGGCGGAAGCAATCCTATTCCCCCATACAGAAGGGCTAGTGGTCGAGAGCCATCACCTCTCCCAGGCACCATGTGATCTCCTTCACGGACGGCTCCTTTTCCCCAAATCTCAACCTGGCCACGGGAAGGCCCCAAGCTTCCATCATTGGCTGCGTGGTGCCTGTAGGTGAGGTAGGATTACTCTGTGTACTGCTGCAGGTGCTCCCGGTTTCAATTCCATCAACCTTAACAGTAGGGTGATACCTCTTCATATGCATCCTTAGGCCACTTGTTGCCAGATGCCACAGGTCTTTCCCCCTGCTGATGCTCCCGCCGCAATGCCTAAAAACTGCCAAGGTCGCCTTCTGAGAAGGGACTTCAAAGTGATCCCAGAGCGGGGACTTAAGCCTTCCCAAACTTACTAGGATTGGGCTTTTAATGCTGTGTATTTCTGTTTTTAACATTTGTATATTAAGACCCCCATAACCATGGAACCCATATCTGTGGCTTGACTTAGGGAAAATGGTCTCTCTAGTAATATGCTAGGTCTGCCATGTGATTCTATGGTATGCTTCTTTTGGAAGATATCATAATTTCACCCTGGAGGATCTAACACATTCCTAGAGAGGATATCTCCCCAGGAATTTCTAGATCCTCTAGGGTGACTCTATGATACGAAGTGACCAGAGGTCACATAATTTTTTGCCATTTGGTCATATCCATGGGATCAGGTAACTATGGTCGACCTGGGAAACACATCCCCCAGAAATACAGGGTTCTCTTACTGTATTGATACATTAATATTGTAACTTACTAAAAGGGTTTGTTCTTGTGACTTGGTTTCTGTTGAATCACTTCACCATTCTTTGTTTGTTGTATGACCTAAATATGAAAATATATGAATGAAATACAGGAATTCAATTTTATCACCATGTTCTCAATGGCAAGAGTGCTATAAATTTCCATATCTTCTGAACAACTCTGATGCTTTCTTTTGTGAGACTGTTGCAAATTTTGTTCATGACATTAGTAACTCTTATTAATGTTTTGCTTTTATCTGTGACTTTCTCTTGTTGTATATGCCTGTGATGTGATTTTGTTGTTGTATGCCAAAAAGGGCTGTGCATTGGTGTTTTTGAGATCTTGTATTTATACTTTTATTAATGAATTTGTCAACAGTATCTTTCATGTTCCAATAAATGTGAGAATTTTGCAAGATGGTTAGCATTTCCTGATCGATTTTCAGCCATCATAGCTTTTCCCAAACAAGGTCAGTAATATTAATAACCTATTCTATATCATTGGACAGCTGTTAATATTTGTACATGATGTCAACAAGGACATGGAAAGGTCCGCCTGAAAATATAAATGGAGAGATGGGAAAGGATCAGAAGCCAGAATCTCTCAACAAGAAACATCAATGGATTTCAAGGTAAGTTGCCTCCATTGTAACCATTAGAGTGGTCTACAGTGGCCCAAATGAAGTTTCATGGGCTAAGAAATTTTGTCTGTTGGGAAAGTAGAGAGCAAAGAAATAACTTCTCTGCATGTAATTCCTTGCCATTTGCACAGTACTTTTCACCAAGCTGTCAATATCTCATATCTGGATGACATCATTTTCACTGCCTTGGCTCAGTGCTATGAAATCCTGGGAATTATAGTTTTGCACGTTGTTTAGTCTTCTTTGCCAAAAAGTGCTAGTGCCTCATGATCTGGACATTGTTTTATTTCAATTACATGGTAAGGTGCATTTTAAAAGTATCAGAACAAAAATGGTAAAAATGTATATTATGTCTGATTTCCTTACTGTTCCCAATTGCTTTCTTACTTTTTGTTCCAGATGCATCTTTTCTTTTGTGCTCTCTTCATTTCTCTGATGGATTACCATTGTATCAGTGGCAAGGAAAGTGTCCTCACATCACTGAAGAAAACTGTAGAAAAAGGTCCTCTGGTGACAATTGGTAGGTAATACAGGTCCCTAGAGAAGACATATAGCCACAATGTTGTGTCTATGATTTGTCTCCTGATCTGATCATGGGGTGATGAAAGATAACTCATCCAGCCAGTGACTGGTGGTTTACCAAGCTAAAGAAGGGACCCCTATAGAAACCTGTTACAAAATCTCAGTGCACTACAGAGGCAGGGGCAGGACTGGAGGCTAAATATTCAGCAACCCCCAGTAGCCCCCCCCCCCAACAATGATCCTCAGAAGTCTACTCACAATCATCAACACCTAAAAACTGGTTTATGTGGAAAATTAGGTGGGGAGGGAGTAGGGAAAGAAACCAGCTACAACATTTTATTCCTTGTCCTTAAATAGGTTTCTTTTCAGTCCTAAGCTAGCTTCAGAGTGTGGTGGCTAGACAAAAAACTCCCTTGAAAGTGCATGAAAAAAAACTCTTAATGCATATTAGTGATCTATGTTTACTGAAATCACCATCCAGACTTCAAACTGATTTCAGGATTTCCAATGTAATCGTCTATACCAGGGGTCCTCAAACTAAGGCAGATATGGCCCTCGGAGGTCATTTACTCGGCCCTCACTCAAGGACAATCTAAGTCTGAAATGACTTGAAAGCACACAACAACAACAACAACAACAACAAGAGCAATCCTATCTCATCAGCCAAAAGCAGGCCCACACTTCCCATTGAAATACTAATATGGTTTATATTTGTTAAAATTGTTCTTCATTTTAATTATTGTATTGTTTTAAGTGTTTTTTGCACTACAAATAAGAAATGGAATTCATTCATATATTTTTTTTCAAATTATAATCCGGCCCTCCAACAGTTTGAGGGACTGTGACCTGGCCCTCTGTTTAAAAAGTTTGAGGACCCCTGGTCTACACAGTCAAACCACTTTTTACAATACTGGTTTGAAACTGACTTAAGTTATTAAGGTAGAAGTGCCCCAAGACTTACAGTACCATAGTGCATTAGTAAATCAGAGAAATTATACTTTTGTACTTTATAATTTAAAAACTCAAAATTCAAAGATGAGTATATTTTCCCTTCAAACCATAGGATCTCTTCAGCAAGCCAAATTCTTCACTCCAAATTATTTTTTAAAAAGATCTCTAATAGAGCTCTAGTACAGTTGTCACAACAGCTTCAAAAATCCAAGCAGCCAAACTGCTAGAACTCATGCTTCTTTATACTAATCTGGAAGATCCTTCTCTTAACTTCTTTCTTTCTTTCTTTCTTATCTTGTACTTTCAGTCCGAGACGAAGACAGTAGTTCTGCAGTGAATCAGACCAGAAACAGTCGACGTAATGATGCTTTCTATGAAACAACCTTGAAGTGGGTTTGGTTTTATGGATCTGCTCCCAGTGATGCAGTTTCATTCTGGAATAGCTATGCTAACAGGTGGGAATACCCTTGCTGGGAAGGAGGATGTGGAGCTGGTTACTACAGTCCAGCCCGTGGTCCTTACTGCTACTATGCTGAAAGCAATCGAGAAAAGAGTACCTCTAATTTCCAGGTGTTGGTGAATGAACACAACTTTGAATCTTTGAAATGGCAATATGGTTCTCATGGTAATGTTCCACATAATTCAATTGATACTTGCCCAGGAGCACGAGTCTATGTGGGGAAAAATCATTTTGGCTTAGGAAAGGTAGTTGTCCAACACAGTGCTTTCTTCATCGGAAGGAATGGTAAAGAATACTGGTACAAAGAATATGATGTCCTCACCATTTATAAAGATTATCGATCTCAGGCAATCAACAATGTCAGGTACAAAGAAGATCAGGGGACATACAGCAACCATGCCCTGACCTTGTTTACCACCAAAGTCACCAACAATAACTGTGAATCAGTGAAGAAGACCACCACCTTATCAAAAACTGTAACCTTTGAACATCGCTGGGACGTTGGAATTGCCCTTTCACAGAGTGTGAGCAGTACTATAACAGTGGGGATACCTGAAGTTATTGGGACATCATGGGGGATTTCATCAGAGAAAACCTACAACTGGAATAAAGGTTTCACACAGAGTGAATCGGTCGAGTATAGTGAAACTGTAGAGGTTGATGTCCCACCTAAGCAGAGCTGTGAAGTGACAATGAAGGGCATAACAATGAGGGCAAGAATTCCTTTTACTGCCACAGCTACTCGTTACTATTATAATGGAGAGAGTCGAAGTGCCACCGTCCAAGGGGTCAGCGACAATGATGTTGTGGCACAAGTGCACACAGAAATTAAGCAGTGCCAGCCCATCCCAAATGCAGAGCCATGCCTTTCAGAGGTCATTGGCACATATTAATAATCCTCTATGCTATTCCCTGGCCATTCATTGTCCTAGAGCAGAAATCAAGAAAATAAAACGTTCCTCTGGGTAACATGAAGAACAACAAGTGAGGTGAGGGTGAGGGCTGAGCTTTGATATACAAGAATCTACTTTATTCAATAGAAGGAAGAGTGATTATTCCTCTATTTCATCATAACACAACATAAATATGCTTCCTGATCCTGAATACATTTACTTGGAAATAAATGCCATCTATTGCAATAAGACTTGTATTGGGAGTATTTGTTCTCAAAGCTTAAACTAAAATTAATCAACTAAATCCTGTTGTGTTGCTCAAATGGCGCATAGATGTCATCAAAATCAGTGGGAGAAGTCAATCAGAACTGAAGATCCATTGCAAGTGTGGGGATTGAGTGGCCCTTCAGTGGATTGTTTTCTTCATTATTGGCTATGCTGACTAGGGCTGAGGGCAGTCCAACAATATTTGAACCTGGCACTGCAACTCTTTCTTTGGTACTATTCAATTCCACATCTTGAATAAGGGCTACAGGTGATTCATCAGAAGGAAAAGCAGATTCACAGTCCAAGCAATCCAATGTCTTATTTCAACTGGCAGCGTGCTCAAGGTTTCTAAACAAAATATATTCCTCTATACTATACCTACATGTCAGTGATATTGACACAGCAGCTATATGGCATGGGCCAAAAGAAAGGCTAATGGTGTTCTGTTCAGATGTCAACATTGACTGAACATCAGCAGTGCCAAGGGACACAAATGTCATGAGGAGAGAAAAGTTCCAGCTTTGAAAAAGGGAAGAGCACCATTGACCATAGAAGTCCTAGATGTTTTGGGGTGGGCAAAGGAAACTCATGAAGGGATGTAGAAAAGCTGCCCCAATGCTCCATGGATATGGAAAGAGAAGGAGGGAGGGAGGGACTCAGCAAGAAGGAGCCTATGAAGGAGAACTGAGAGTCATTCAGAAGTAAGGACCCATCTGAGTGTAAGGGAGCACTTGGTTGTGTTGGACCACAGAGCCAACCTTCTAACCCCTTGCTGGCAGGTGCCAAATGATGCTGGGAACTGATCAAGCAGAAGGAAGATTGATGGTTTTCCTAAAGCAAATAGGGATGACAGGAGACTTCAGTCCTGCTTTCTTCAGCCTTCGGAAGCTTTGGAAAGAACAAAACTAGGTAGAGGAGAATCTGAGAACAGATAGTGAAGGAATGTGTGAGGGGAAGAGCAATTCCAGGATTCCTAATCTAGTATTCCTGGCCTGCTCTGCCTTTTCTTTCTTCAGTCTCTGAGGTGGATCTTCCCTTGCAGACTTCCCTTCTCTTAATTCTTCTTGAAATATGTGGTCGTCCTGTCTCCTCACAATCCATAACTGCAAAAGAATCTCAACATCTAGATGTGGTGTGCATGAGGTGGTTGCTTACGGATAACCCAAAAAGGGGATGCAAATGCCCATGTGATTTGCCTACATTTATTTATATGTTGAGTTGCAAAAATAGGAATAATAAGATTGAAAATACAAATATTACATAGTTCCTTTTAGTGGGGTGAGGATTGCCAGTGACCAGACCTGTTTTCAAACCCTCTGCTCTCTTTTTAATTAAAATTAATCAACCAAATTCAGTTGTGTTGCTCAAATGGCACATAGATCCCATCAAAAGTCCTAGAAACTGAAAACATTTTTAAGCCAAAGAATGGCCTCTGACAGTGACGCCCCTTCTGTCTTAGGGCAGCTATTAAAAAAAAAAAACACAGCACATTATCAGCTCATACTTTGAGTTCAAAATCTTGTGATGAGCAGTGTTTACTTAGAGATAGTGGAAGTGAAACAAGGGCCATGGGATTTCCAATTTTGCTTTAAACATGAGGTACAGTGTTATGGGGAAACCCATCTCTAAGCTGCTGACACCAACTTCTATATTCTTGAAAGGCAACCACTCCCAAACTAGATACTGGTCACTCACACTTATGAAATCAAAACAGCACCACCCTCCCACACAAGAGGAAGGAATCACTAGAAGAGAGGAAATCTTGTAGTTTGGAGAAGTTACAGAGCACTGACATAGCACCTACCAATTTTTCCATCCTATGTGGACTGAGTATGCACAATTCAGTCCTCGTGGATTGTTGGGAGAGAGAACTGAAAACCATTTGGGAGGAAAGAAGGAATGGGATGCATGAAGTTCTAAACATTGGCAGTACTCACTGCAACATTTTTCATCAGTTTTTTAATATTAACAGTAAAATTCAGACTCCTGGGGGAATCTCCTTGCATTTTTTATGAAAATATTGCAGAAACCAACAAAACATGCTTTCCCAGTCTGCTTGAGTTAGCTGGACCTATGAACTGTTAAAAAGCAGCTCAAACAAGAAGCAAATAAATATCTACAGCAAGGGTGGGCAAGTTGTATGTATAACATTTACAGGAAACATATTTGGATTTTGGATTTATACTCTGGTTCCATCTCCAAGATATCTCGTTGTGTATATGCAAGTTTTACAAAATTAAAAAAAAACTGAAATCCAGTTGGGACCCAATAAGTGACACTCAATCTGTAATTGTGTGCAAACTATTTTTGCACTTTCAAGTCTGTAGGAATGGTAGTAAAACTAAAGAAGGAGGTGTAGAGAGGTGTAAAGTGAGTGTGACTGGGACATTGTAAAAGTAGGTCAAAAGTGGTATGACTGAGGGCAGCTGGAATGTATGCAATAACAGTTACTTCAGTTGCCCAGGACCGGGAGGAGCTATGCCACCCAAACACTAGAATATGTATGCTGGAATACATTAACACCAAAATGCTAGTGCAAATGTTGGATCTTAGCCAATGTCCTCCACAATGCTTGATTAAATGTACACACCTTTTTGTATCATAATGCACAAAGCAGCATTATTGTTATGTTTATTATGCTTATTTGTTATGTGTATTTATATCCCACTTTTTTTTCTCCACAAATAGACTTTAGAGTGAACTGCCATGTCATGTTTATGGGATCATACAACGTAGCAGATTGGGTAATGCCCATTTGAGTGGAAACAGTTTTACGCAAAGGACAAAATTTTCACACCTCCCTGCAAATGTCCATATATAAAATTACCTTCAGGCTATGTGTATAATGTATATATGAAACATAAATGTATTTCAGGTTTGAATTTGGGTCCCATATTCAAGATACTTCATTATTATTATTATTATTCTTATTATCATTATCTTTATTTATACCCACCTTTCTCCCCATGGGGACTCAAGGCAGCTAACAATTCCACACTAGACAAGTTTTAAAAATACAATACATTTAAAAAAAAATTAAATAGTAACAGTGTGGTAAAAACAGAATTAAAATACAATACAAACACTATATTGGCCTTTAAAACTCATATCCCGCCACCCACCTCTCATTCCACCCAACCTCCCCAAGGCCTGCCCCTTATCCTTTCCCAAATGCCTGTTGGCAGAAGAAGGTGTTGACCTGCTTGCAGAAGGCCAGCAGGGATGGGACGATCCTGGTCACTCTTGGAAGGAAGTTCCACAACCTGGGAGCAGCCACCGAAAAAGCCCAATCTCTCGCGTTCCCATCAAGCGCCCTCCCCAGCAAATCGTAGATTCATAGAAAGAGACATGGTAATCCAGATAACCTGAACTGGAGCCATAAAGGGTTTTATAAGTCAAAACCAGCACTTTGAATTGTCCTCGGAAAACATGTTGGCAGCCAGTGGAGATGTTGAAACAGAGAAGTTGTACATTCCTTGTAGTCAGCCCCTGTTAGCATTTTCACTGGGATTTATAGCATTACATGGTCTTTTGTCTTCTCTGCCAAAGAGGAGTAGTGTCTCAAAAAAACCCTGCAAATCTCAGAATATTATAGCCTAGAAGAGTTGTAGTTAAAGTAGTATCAAATGACCTTAATTGCAAGCTATCTGCACCCTATGTCAGATAGCCTGGATCAAAGATGTATGGGCTTTCATGGGTATGCATCATACTGTAGAGTTAGTGCAGTTTGACACCACTTTAACTGTCATGGTGAAATGTTTTGGAACCATGAGAGTTGTGGTTTGGTGACTACAATCATGATACCATAGTATTGAACCATGGCAGTTACGGTGGTGTCAAACTGCATTCGATGCTCCTTTTTAGAAGGTGAATTTTTTCCAGAAAATATTTCTGTTTCTCTTCATTGGTTCCATTTGCAATTCTGCAAAGGGTGAAGGAGAGATAATGCTTGCTCTGAGCAGTAAATAAAGCTTTATTTAGGAATATGGCAGGACTATCTCCTCCTAACACAATTTTGGACCCTATGTATACCAGAAAGGGAAATTCCATATATTATTTGCAAGTCATTGTGCTATAGAGGAAATAAGTCACCCATTCCCATACCACTCATGTTCATATCTTGTCTATATATAAAGAGACAAAAAGGAAGGTGCCCTGCAGGAAGACCAGGACCAATCTTGAAGGAACATCTACCAGTTTCAAGGTGAGCTGCCTCCAACAGTGCCAGGTTGATTGGTTGTGAGTGCCACTGACTTCTTATCCTCAATGTAAACAGGAAACTGTAGCCTACAGCTGACCACTGCATGTATTCAAGGTGACTGGTGCTTGCCATGTTTAATTCTGATGTTGAAGGTACTATTTCTTGTTATTTGGGGGGATAGCACCTTACATAACATCAGGCTAAAACCTCAAGCAAATCCATTACTTTTCCACTATGGAAGCCACCAGCCCTTCTGGAGGACCACAAGTTGTCCACCCCAGCTGGTGGGTTTTAAAACTAAGTAATGATGGGAACATGGCTCCACTTGGGTGTGACTTCCATAGAGTCATGTTCCCATCATTGCTTAGCTTTAAACCCACCAGCTGGGCTAGACAACCTGTGGCCCTACAGAAGGGACTAAGCTATAACTCCTCCATCTATCTTTGGTGGCACAACCAGATGGTGCTGATGGAAGCTGGAGCCTTGCCATGTACATCATTTCAATGCACATTGTTCATCTGCAAGACATGTGAGTGCTTCTGGTTGTTATGTGTTTGGGAATGATCTGTGAAGTCTTTTGTAGATTGTTGTAATACAAGGTCAAAAACATGTAGCCTGTGAAATGGGGATGGATTGTAACTTCCAGCATTCTTCACCATTAGGGTCTTGGACTTCTTATCCAACAACCTTTGGAAGGATGCATGTTTCCCATCCCAATGATACTGTGTACCATGGTGGTTCTGTCCTTACCATCAACTTCTCTCTCTCAACTGTCTCTGACCAACCCTTCCATCAGCCAATTGCATAAGGAGAGGTGGGAACTGGGAACATTGACCAGCTTCCCTGGGAAACCATTTATGTTCCAGGATAGTGATAGGCTGAATCCTAGGATTACAATTCAAAGAAAAATACTTTTTTAACAACTGACTTATGAAAATAATGGTCATTACAAAATAGCTTATGATCAAAGGTTTTAGCACCTTTCTCGTTGTGCCTGAATTTATGAGACTTCCAAGTATTTATCGTATCAGAAGCAAACCAAGGGTACAGTTGTAATGAATTTTAAAAACACAAAGTTTTAAAAAGCTTGGCATTATGCTAAATGTCCTTTGACTAGTAACTGGCCACTGGTGCTGCTAAAAGAAGGTCCTCCTTTATGCATGTGGCAGGGCTCAGGCTGCACTGTAATAAGTGGTTTGTGGTTTGCTCTTCTCCACACTCGCATGTTGTGGTCACCTCTTTGTGGCCCCATTTCTTAAGGTTGGCTTTGCATCTCGTAGTGACAGAGTGCAGCCTCTTCAATGCCTTCCAAGTCACTAGTCTTCTGTGTGCCCAGGAAGGAGTCTCTCATTTGGTATCAGACACTGATTGAGGTTCCTGGTTTTAACCTGCCACTTTTGGACTCTTGTTTGCTGAGGTGTTCCTGCTAGTATCTCTGTAGATCTTAGAAAACTATTTCTTGGTTTAATGCATTGACATACTGGCTGATATCCAAACAGGGGATGGGCCGGAGATGTCACTGCCTTGGTCCTTTTATTACTGGCTGAAAGGTCATAGAACGGTCCACAGTAACTCCCAGTTATTTGTGTGTGCTGCAATGCTCCAGTGGGATTCCTTCCAGGTGATAGGACACTTAACTTTGGATCTCTCTTTAATAGAAAAGCCTATGTAAATACAAATGGATCAGGAAAAGTTCTGCCTGCTTCTTTGCCTCTGTCATTTCCACATTGGGCATCTTTAATAATTAAAGTGGCTGAGGAAAGGCTGGTAAAAAACACAGCAAACATATTTTTTTCCAAAATATGAATTGGCCTCCCACCTTTTATTTCAGATGCATCACCTACTGCTCTGGGTTCTCCTTGTCTACCTGGCTGTGAATGAGTCCTGGGCCAATGGGATGAATGCCAATCTCACGGTCCTAAGGAGAACTGTGGAAAAAAGCCTTCAAGGTGAGTAACCTTGAATATGTTTTCTAATTGCGCTTTCTGGGCCAACTTTGGACTGTCCTATGCTGTGATGCAGCAACAGCTGGTGGCCTCCCTGCTTCAGGCAGCCTCCAAGGACATTGGTAAGAATACTAACACTCCAATACATATCTTGTCCCTGCTTGCCATATAGATTTTTAAAATGTGAGATCCACAGAAAAAATGTGGCGATCACAGTTCAGCACTAACAAACATGAAAACACAGGAATTAAAACATGATTGGCTCAGTCTTGAGCAATCCAGCCAAGACCCAGATGGATACATCTGTCAGTTTCAGTTCCTACCAATTATTTTTGAAATCTCCAATTGTTTTCATTCAATTATAAAGAAACTTGCAAATGTTGGCAAACTCTTATCAAAAACAGACACCTGATTATTGCCCCAATTTGCAGCATTTTCTGTCTTATAATAATCATAAACCATGAAAATGAACAAAATCTGGCTACCAGTATTTAAAAATCCTCTAAAATAAGGACAGTACATAAAGAGCAACACCCAAAAAGGGGAAATTCCAGACAAAAATCAAGCATGGACAGCTAGTCACCTCTCAACAAAGGATTCCCTCAGGCAGGAAGCAGCCAAGCCTTGAAGCTGCAAAACCATTCAGTGCTAATCAAGCTAGCCAGTTGCAACTTTCACACCTGCCTCATGCAGACAGGGCATTCCACAGATATACAAACCTCACTTGCCTAGTTTCCAACAAACCACACAACCTCTGAGGATGCCTGCCATAGATGTGGGCAAAACGTCAGGAGAGAATGCTTCTGGAACATGGCCATAGAACCTGGAAAACTCACATCAACCCAATCATAAACTGGCTTTTGACACTGGTAACTATTGCCTCCCCCATGTCAATCAGGTATTAATCCATTCTGGGTTTCAGTCTTTAAAGTGACTCTCCAAGCTATTAAATCTTATCCCAAAATAGTTTCAGTGCCTTAAAATTTGCACTAAAACCTAGATCAAATTCACTACTCACCAACATGCAAGCCACTAACCACAACAAGCTTTGGCTACTGTGCTTCGACTTCTATTGGAAGCAGACATGTGCTGCTCTAACTCAAGCAACAAAACAGCTTACATGGACCAGATTTCTCCATTAATCCTAATATTATTTCCTTTTTCTCTATTTCATTTCCATTTTTTCAGTCCCAGGCAATGGCAGCAGAGAGGCTCTGAACCTAAAGAGAAACACCCGCTCTCTAGAAAGATTCAGTGATGTATTTGATGGTACAAGCCTGAAATGGGTAGAGTTTCAGGAGTCTATCCCCGAGGGAGCTGTGTCCATCTGGAACAGCTATGCCAAAAGGACGGAATATCCTTGCTCCGAAAACAACTGTGAAGCTGGCTTCTATAGCCCAGACCGGGGTGCTTTCTGCTTCTATCCTTACAAAGGCAAAGAACACAAAAGTGATAAGTTCTGGTTGTTAGTTAATGAAAATGATTTTGAATCCTTGAAGTGGAAAGGAGGTTTCTTGGGTAGCGTTCCATCCAATTCCATAAACACTTGCCCAGGAGTCAAAGTCTACCTTGCCAAAAATAAGTATGGATTAGGAAAGGTTGCTGGCCCCGTTAAAGCTTTCTTTATAGGAATTGACGGTTGGGAATATCTGTATTTGCGCTACGAGGTCCTGACAGTGAATAAAGATTATCTCTCTCAGAGTATTTACGATGTCAAGTACATGATGGAGAATGGAATATATAAGAGGGAGAGTGTGACTTTAGCCTCCAGCCAAGTTACCAATAACAACTGGAAGGTTGTGAAGAAGACAGCCACCTTATCCAGGACTGTGACTTCCGAGCATCGTTGGGATTTTAGTATTTCCCTCAAAGTGGCTGTGAGTACTACCTTGACTGCCAAAATCATTGAAGGATTAAGTTTAGGGTGGACCCCTTCTGCAGAAACAACCATCAGCTGGAGTCAGGGCTTCACACAGAGGCAATCGGTCACACATTCTCTAACTGTAGAGGTAGAAGTCCCACCAAACCATGAGTGTGAGGTGACAATGGAAGCCTTGAAGATGACTGCAGATGTTCCCTTCACTGCCACAGCAACACGTAGGTATCGCAATGGGGAAAAACGAAGTGCCACAGTCCGAGGAGTCAGCAAAAATATTGATGTGGCACGTGTGCAAGTTCAAGTAAAGTCTTGCAAACCCATCCCAACAGCTCATCCCATCTCATGTCAGAGATGTACAAATGATCCAGAACAATTTGGATTGACCCACGATGAGGATTCAGAATAAACTATACAGATGGTACCCACTCTCATCGCAGCTATCACCAACACACAATATTCTTTCATCACAGCATTAGAGATGATGCAAACGGTAATAAAAGTTTACACATGTGGCTCTGTTATATACATATATATTATACATGTATATTATACATATATTTATATGTAATGTGTTTGAATGTATTTTATGTTGTGGGGCATGGATTGCCGACTGTAAACCGCCTTGAGTTGCCTCCAGGCTGAGAGGGGCGGTATATAAATATAGTAAATAATAAATAAACAAATAAATAAATCAGAATTTGCCTTTTATTTCAGACATAACCAATCAGCTTTTGTGTTTTACTATTTTCTTGACTCTGTGGGAGCAATGCAAATTTATTTAACAAACATCACATCTATATTGATCAAGGCAGTAAGATTAGAAACCTGTTCTGTCCTTTCAAGCTCTTGCCAAGAACATTGAACCTGACCTTCTGTAAAAAATTAACTTGCACTATGGAAAAACAGATCAAGAACAAAAGTGAAACTAAATTTCTTAAACTGCTGTGTGCATGGATTGCCAACATGTTTTCCAAGGACAATTCAAAATGCTGGTTTGACTTACAAAACCCTATATGGCTCCAGTTCAGGTTATCTGAATTATCATGTATCTATGAATCTACGATCTGCTGGAGAAGGGATGCCATCACCATCCATAGGGATGTCTTTTCTCTTCAAATCAGTCCGGCCTTTGATATATATATAGCCCCCGGTGGCGCATCAGGGGTTAAACCGCTGAGCTGCTGAACTTGCTAACCGAAAGGTTGCAGGTTCGAATCCGGGGAGTAGCGTGAGCTCCTGCTGTTAGCCCCAGCTTCTGTCAACCTAGCAGTTTGAAAACATGCAACTGTGAGTAGATCAATGGCTAGCTCTCCGGCAGGAAGGTAACGGGACTCTATGCAGTCATGCCGGTTACATGACCTTGGAGGCATCTGTGGACAACGCCAGCTCTTCGGCTTACAAATGGAGATGAGCACCAACCCCCAGAATCAGACACAACTGGACTTAATGTCAGGGGAAAACCTTTATCTATATACTTTAAAAATCTGTTTAAATAAGAACAGCGTGTCCCTGTGTGTTTTGTCTGTATCATTACCAGTCTGCTGTCTGTTCCTAATACGTTTCTAAATTGATACATCTATATTTGTACTGATATTAAAACACAACTTTAAAAAAACAGAGGAAATGCTTATGTGTTCTGTGTGGGTTTTTCCATGGTTTCCTTGCCACTCCTGATTTCATAGGCAAGATTCTATAGATGCTAAGTCTCTTTCCTACTTTGAAATGACAGCAGTATGATTACAATTTGACTGTGTGGGAATATCCTATAGGTCTCTGGGATCTTCCGGTTAGGGAAGAGTACTTAAAATTCTCAAGCAGAGAGCTCTAGTACTTCACCAAACCTACAAGCCCAAATGCCATGAGATGCAACCGTGGCTGTTAAAATGGAATCACAGAGCTATGTCTACTGCAATAACAGCCCTGTGGTCTTCCAGATGTATTGCCACCTCATCAGAGGGGCGACTTTCCCTGTTGTACGCTGCTTGCTCTCCCCTTTCATTATACAACACATCTGTACTTCTGGCTAGGCTCCTTCGTGAAAGGGGAGGATTTCCATGTTGCCTTCAAGACAATGTGGAGAAGCCAGGTAGCGACATTTCTCCTGTGAGGTAGGAATCAGGGTAAGTTGCTTGATGCAGGGTGTAGAGTGACGGGTTGTCCATGCCCCCCCCCCCCACCAGGACCCCATGGATTTGCCATGATGCGTGGGATGAATTCATGGGTCTTTCTGAGGTCTTTAGACTACAATTCCTTTCATTTCCGACCAGTAAAGCCATTATTTATGTTGGCTGTGGATGGTGTAGCTTGTAGTTTAAAGTAGCTGGAGGATGCCAGGTTGAAGATTGCCCCTTCCATTGTTGGGTTTGATGTTCAGCCGTGGTGGCGCAATGGGTTAAACCATTGAGCTGCTGAGTTTGCTAACCTGAAAGTTGACAGTTTGTATCCACTAGACGGAGTGAGCTCCCACTGTCAGTCCCAGCTCCTGCCAACCTAGAAGTTCAAAAACATGCAAATGTGAGTAGATCAATAGGTAACACCTCGACAGGAAGGTAAAAGTATGCCCCACGAAGTCAGGCAAGCTACTTGATCAGGAGGTGTCTACGGACAATACGGGCTCCTCAGCTTGGAAATGGATATGCGCACCTCCCCCAGAGCCAGAGATGAAAGGGGAAACCTTTGCTTTTGTCTGTGTATTTGTGTTTCAAAGACATTGAATGTTTGCCTGTGTTTTTAAATATGCTAGAATCCACTCTGAGTCCCCTCAGGGAGATATAAATAAAGTGATTGTTATTATTATTATTATTATTATTATTATTATTATTATTATTATTATTTTACATTGGTTCTCTTTCATTCTAAGCCATCTCCAAGTACATTATTACACCCAGATTAAAGACACTCCACTGGTTGCCAATCAAAGTACAAAGTCTTGGTTATAATTTTAAAAGTCCTATGTGGTTTTGGTCTAGGCTACCAACAGGATCGTCCATATAATCCACACTGTACACTGAGGTCTTCTGGGGGTATTTACTCTATCCTGCCAAAACCAGACCAGCAACCATCACCCAGGGGACCTTTTCATCAGCCACCCCAAGACTGTGGAATGACCATTCGAAGAGATTCGACCATTAAATGAACTTAAAGAATTCAAGAAACAATTGAAGTGAATTTTAACTTTACATGTTACTGATGTTTGTTCTGTGTATTTTTTTAGTCTGGTTATGAAAACATAGCAAGATGCTTTTCCAGTATCCTTTCCTCCCTCCCCAATCACAAAATGGCAAAGGAAGGAGTTGGCTCTTACAAGAAAAAAAATGAGCCCTGGCAGGATTGTTTGGTTTTGGACTGAGGGAGAAAGAGACGCATTTGGATTTTGTGTGCTGATCTCACTTACCGGTAGCTGACTGGTGCTTTGATGTGTTCCTTTCGTTTTTAAAGTTAAACAGTACAGGGTGGCCCGGAAGACATCAAGGACAGGTCATTGACTATTTGTGTGAGCCAAAAATATAGGTAAGTGTTCTTCCAGTACCCAGCCCCACAGCTCTCCACCATCCACTAAATAGGAATGGAAGGAGTTAGTTTCTTTAGGTCAGTGTTTCTCACCTTCCTAATTCCCCGACCCTTTAATACAGTTCCTCATGTTGTGGTAATCCCCAACCATAACATTATTTTTGTTGCTACTTCATAACTGTAATTTTGTTACTGTTATGATTCATAATGTAAATATCTGATATGCAGGATGTATTTTTATTCACTGGACCAAATTTGGCACAAATATCTGATAACCCAAATTTGAATACTGGTGGGGTTGGAGGGGCATTGATTTTGTCATTTGGGAGTTGCAGTTGCTGGGATTTATAGTTCACCTACAATCAAAGAACATTCTGAACTTCACCAATGATGGAACTGAAACAATCTTGGCACACAGAACTCCCATGACCAACAGAAAATACTATAAGAGTTTGGTGGGCACTGACCTTTAGTTTTGGAGTTATAGTTCACCTACAGCCAGAGAGCACTGTGGACTCAAAGAATGATGGATCTGGACCAAACTTGGCACGCATACTCAATATGCCCAAATGTGAACACTGGTGGATTTTGAAGAAATAGACCTTGACATTTGGGAGTTGTAGTGGCTGGAATTTTTTAATTTACCTACAATCAAAGAGCATTCTGAACCCCACCAATGATAGAATTGAGCCAAACTTCTCATACAGAACCCCCATGCCTTGAAGGGACTCGCTGGCATGAGCCTCCCTCCAGCCTCGCACGTTCTCCCTCACCTGCGCATGCACACCATGCTTTCATGTACTGAGCACGCCTACTCTCCCCTCCCAACTTGGAGAAACAGCCTTCCCCTTGGCTGAGAAGTTGGCCAGTCACAGCGGAGGAGGGCTTTTGGTGGGAGTATTTGCCTTCTGTTTCCAAAAAGGAAGAGAAAGATAGGCTGAGAGATCTTCAGCTTTTTCTGTCAAAGGGGTTCCTAAGACCATCTGAAATATGTGTTTTCTGATGATCTTTGGCAACCCTGCTGAAACCCCCTTGTGACCCCCCTCCAGGGACCCCGACTCTCAGGTTGAGAAACTCTGCTTTAGATGAATGAGAGCCCTGGTGGGATTGTTGAAGAAGACAATTCCAGTCTCTGCAGTGATCAAATCAAAGACCTTATATGCTGGCCTTACCGACTAGTTACTGGCTTGTGTCTCTCTTTGTAACTTTCGTTTTTAACATTAAACAGTACAGATGGCCCTGAGGATATGAAAGAGAGGTCATTCACCATTTTTGTTAGCAAAAAATACAATCCAGGGATGAAAGGCCATATGTGCAGGTCAGGGCATTGATAGTAGGGATAGAGGGAGGGCCTTTCATCAGTTGCTAGAGCAAAGGCACGATAGAAAATTTATAGAAACATCCCAATGTGTAGGATTTCCTTAGGCAAAAACATCTTCAGAAAGGGTTTGTCAGTTCCTTCCTCTAAATTTTAACTCATAAACTATAAACATAATAAAAGTGAAAAATGTTTTGTAATGGAGATGTCCACTTACACAAACAACCTCCAACCTCCACAAATGGGCTATAGTTCCAAGTGCTGAGAAGCCTCCATAAACATGTAGCCCAAACACTGCCAATGTCCTGCCCAAACTCTATGACACACCATCTAAGAAATGCATTCATTCGGGAAGAATTTCATCCTAGATTTGATGTGTTTTCTTCACTACAACACGCATCCTGGGGTTCCTTGTGTGGAATTTGCATGACCCTGCCCACAGCCTCTCCCTTAACCCTTTCCTACCCTTTCGTAGGCACACAGCAAACACAGAGGAATTGATCAGCAACTGAACAGACTGGAGGGGTCCAACGATGGACTGGGACCAAACTTGGTACAGAGGAGCCCCGTGACCAAATGAACATACTGCAGGGGTTTGGGGGAAATGACCTTGATTTTGGGAGGTGTAGTTCACCTGCATCCCAAGAGAACTCA